GTATAATCATTTTATTAACACCTTGCAATCATTCATAAAAAAAAGTTCTGAAACTAAAAAACTGAAATTGGAAAATAAGAAACTTAAGCCTTGGATAACCGATGGACTAATAACTTCAATCAGACATCGAGATCGATTGAAATCCAGACTTTTAAAAAACTTCTCTTTAGAATTGAAAATAGAATATACACATTACAGAAACTTTCTAAACAATCTAATACGTAAAACAAAAACCGATTACTATAAAAATAGAATAATAGCGGCAAATAATAACTATAAAAAAATCTGGACTGAAATTAATGACATAACAAATTCATCGAAAAGTTCTCAAGCAGATAGTATAAATATAACCGATGACCAAGGTATTGAAATCTCATCAGATCTAGAAAAAGCTGAGTATCTCAATAAATTTTTTGTTCAGGTGGGAACGCTCATGGCCCAAAAAATTGATACCAAAACGTCTCCGCAGGAAGTAAATCCTCATATAAGAGAATCGCTATTTCTCAATCCAGTGACAAGTAATGAAATAATCTCCACTATTTCTACTCTAAAAAATAACACATCGGCAGGTCCTGATCGTATCTCGGTCTTTTTGATAAAAAAATTCAACAAAAACCTATCGGATCCGTTGTCACATATAATAAATCTATGCTTCCTAACCAGTATTATACCTGGTGCTTGGAAAGAATCAATAACTACACCAATTTTCAAAGCAGGCGATAGGAAACTCGCTACGAATTATCGGCCTATTACAGTTATAAATAATTTTGCAAAAATATTCGAGAAAGTGTTGAAAGTCCGCCTTATGCAATTCCTAGAATCCAATAACATCTTATCAAACTCGCAATTCGGTTTCCGAGAAGGCTTTTCCACAGAACAGGCTATATTCAGATTGGTGAAAGACGTCTTGGCTAATCTTAATGATAATAACAAGTGCCTAACAATATTTCTAGACCTGGCCAAGGCGTTTGACACCGTGGATCACAAAATATTATTGCATAGATTGGAAATATCGGGGATAAGAGGCACTGTTCTTAAGCTATTTGAAAATTATCTCTTGGATAGAACTCAGAGAGTAAAAATCAATAATTATTTTAGTAACCCCCTTCCTATCACCATAGGCGTACCGCAAGGAACAGTGATGGGTCCCATACTCTTCCTAATTTATATAAACAATATTGGAGTACTGAGAAACACCAAAAGCTCAGTAATCTCATATGCAGATGACACAGCGATAATGTTTTTTGGAGATTCTTGGACAAAAGTATACCAACAAGCCGAACAAGAGTAAAATATATATTTTGACTACATAGATGGTAGCCTTTTAAGCTTAAATACTGATAAGACAAAATTTATCACATTCAGTGCTGATAGTAGAGATCAACCAGAGTTTGATAAAATAACAATAAAAAAAAAACCTGTGACCATATTCTTTGCACATGCCGCACTATAAAAAAAATTGAAAAAATTAAATATCTGGGTGTAATCTTAGACCAACACCTACGATGGTCTGAGCATGTAACATATACAATTCAGAGACTTCGCAAACTTATACGTAAATTTTATCAGCTAAGAAATATTTTAAGCAGAAAAACAATTGTGATGGTGTATAATGCACTAGCAGAGTCCATTATACGATACTGTGTCACTATTTGGGGGGGTATGTACAAAACAGCCTTATGTGATCTAGAAATCACTCAAAATACAATTATAAAGATTATACTCAAAAAAGAAAAATTATTTTCCACTAATGAATTATATCGTGAAGCTAACTTACTGAATCTTAAACAAATTTATATATACCAATGTATTCTATGGATGATGAAAACCAAAACCTACACATATACTAGTCATTCCTACAAAACGAGGTCTATTTCCAATAACCTAGTGACTGTTCCATTCTACAAAAAGTCTCTACCACAAAGATTCATAACTTATTTCGGCCCAAAACTTCTCAATATGGTGCCAGTATATATACGAAAAATCAAATCAAAAGTTAAGCTCTCTATAGAATTGAAAAAATTCGTTGAAGTGAACTATGTCAAGCTAAAAAACATTGTTTACTGATAAATAGGTATGCATTAAACTACTGTGTAAAACATGTCGTTATCACCATACATACTTAGTATTGAAACCATTAATCTTCTCTCTCTTTCTCTCTCGCTCTACTTTCGCAGTTTTTCTCTTCTCCTTCTCTTTTGATAATGTCTACCAACCAATCTTATTTTTAATGTTAGGTATATATATTCAAATTTAGCTTAAGGTTCTTTTTTTTTCTTTGTAAAATGACTCTCTAGCATGGGGTGAGTTGTAATACAAGCCATAAGGCTTAGACAACGCACCTAGTGCAAATTCATAAAATTCTCTTGTAAACATGTCTGAATAAATATATCATATCATATCATATCATATCGAAGAAGCTGTTGGGAAATTATGACCGAAAGATGTTTTTGCCAAATTCCATAATTCACCCTATACAGGGTGAGTCATTAGTGTGGCAAGGTGAGATAACGGCCTTACTGTTTGAGGTAGATGAACAAAAATTCCAGGAATGATCTAGGATCATAAGCAGCACATTTCTAAATAATTTCGCTTCATACAGGGTGACTCAGAAATGCGTGGAGTATCAAAGTTATACTTTTTCTTATAGGACACCCTGTATTTCATTGCATTTTCGCATTCTCCCTTGTAAGCAGAGATATAGGGTGTTCAAAATCGAGATTTTTCAACTTTAGGATTTTTTTGCGTCGAAACTATTCATTATTGGTCAAAACGGCTTTCATGTCCCTATCCCAACTTCTGATTTACTATCTAATGACATTTAATTGGAGCAAATACATGGTGGTTCAAGATTCACTATTCTGATCACCCTGGTATCTGTTCCAATTAAATGTCAGTAGATAGTAAATCGAAAGTTGGAATAGGGACATGAAAGCCGTTTTGACCAATAATGAATAGTTTCGACGACAACAAATCTAAAGTTGAATTTCGATTTTGAACACCCTTTATCTCTGTAATCATTCTCGCTAGACCCCAAGTGTGAGGCATTGATGAAATCAACTCACAAAGGAGAATGCGAAAATGCAATGAAATATAGGGTGTCCATAAGAAAAAGTATAACTTTGATACGCCACGCATTTCTGAGTCACCCTGTATAAAGCTAAATGATTTGGAAATGTGCTGCTCATGATCCTAGATCATCTCTGAAATTTGTGTTCGTTCATATCTATCTCAAATAGTAAAGCCGTTATCTCACTTTGCCAAACCCAGATAGCACACGACGTCCCGGGGACGTACATATTACGTCCGATTCGGGTCCGTACGTCCCGAAACCTAATATGGACGTCCTCAGAACGTACCATGCCGTACGTCTTCGGGACGTACAGAGCGTACGTTTTCAGGACGTCCATTTTTAGTCTTCATATTTTCAATATTCATTATTCACTCTATATTTATTATATTCTCCAATAACAATAAAACATTGCCAGATGTGATCAAATGGAGAAGGAATAAGGGCCCTTATTAATGGCTGCCGATCAATTCGATAATAGGTCACAATGAATCACGTGATTTTTTGTGACCAATGTGGAGAAATTGAAGTAAATTTGGCAATGTTCGCATATATATTTTTATCCTAAATAGAGTGTTACCTCTTTATTGGATTCAGAGATTTCGTAGGATATACTTAAAGATGAAATTATGTACACATAGGTGGAGTGTTTCTGCACTCAATGTTTACGTTTCCATCTTATACTCGCATATGTTGAACAGAGGTAAGTCTTATATTCAATAAGTGTCGTGTAGAGTTGTTGGTAAAGCATCTGCTCGGTAATTCAGAGGTCGCGGATCGATCCCCCAGTAGGAAGGATTTTTTTAAATTTTTTTATTCGAAATAATATTTTTTACTCTGTATAAATGTCTTGTTTATCTATCTGAGTAAAAAAGGGCGAATCTACGTTGATTATGGTATTCATGGCGATTAAATACCAAACTTGGACTTAATATGGACGTCCCTGGGACGTTCCATCTTGTAACATCGGACGTCCCCAATACGTCCTGTGGACGTTTTCGACCGACACTGGACGTCTTCAGGACGTCTTGTATGTCCCAGATGTACGTCCTCTGGACGTACACAGGACGTCTTCGTGTTATCTGGGAACTAATGACTCACCCTGTATATTAGTGAAGAAGAGGGGAAAACACTTTCTGATGGTCATAAGGTATTCCCCTCAGGAGCCTCTATTCGTAGTAAAAGTATGTACAGTTCCTCATGACTCACCCTGTATCCTAACTCTGAAATAATGATGAATATAGGTAGTAGATGAAATTGTCCCTTTACAGTTTTTTAGGAAATTTGGATGTTTTTTCGTTGCTCGGTTCATTACTAAAAAATAATAATCTAAATAATCTACTGGTGCTACTTGAACAATGAATCGTGAAAAGAAAGGACGCATCTTTTGAACACTGCATTTCGATTGAAAATTGGTTAATCTCCACAAAAAAATTATTCGCATTCCGATCGAATTCTCTAAGTGAATCTATCTTGCGAAGGTTTAATATGAAAATATGGAATCAAAGAGAAGCAAACAGGAGATAAAGACAAATCTTGAATCGAATATTCATATTATTTGCACAAAAGTCTATACTTCCGTTTCCACCTATGCAAAAGACCAATTTACTATGCAAATGTGGGCGAATAATGGAAGTACCTACCTACTTTCAGCGCCCTGAGATATCTAGCACATCTGGACACTGAAAAAATTCCTTTCTCTCGAAGGATATGATAAATAGACTAGTAATAATAATTACCTACTTCTAATCTACAGATTCGCTGCTTTTCCTGTTCAGACTCAAATCTGTCGAAAAAACAAACTATTCATTGTGATGTAAGCCCTAGTTAGATTTTGTTCCTAGCTAAGCTTTCACTCAGGGCGATCTGAATAGTACTCTAGATGAGCTGAATGATTTTGGAGATATCACAATAAATGTATATTTTGTAGGTGCGAGATATGAGAGATGAACTCCTGAAACACCAAGATGTGAACGTGATCGTAGTAGACTGGGCCGGGGGTAGTTTACCCCTTTATACACAAGCCACTGCAAATACCAGGTTGGTGGGCCTGGAACTAGCTTATTTGATCAACTATCTAATGGTGGGTAACATAAATATCAAATTTATTTTATATGAGATTGTGAAACTATAGGGACTCGCAGTTCCTCATTTGCTAACGGAGTAAAATAAATAATTCAAGGATGTTTTCACAAATCGAATTCATTGAGAACAAGTTTTTTCAATGAGTATTCCATGATTGAGACAATAAACGAGCGACTTGCGAGAGTTAAGCACACTCCATCAATCATTCTGGCTTCCAACCCAACATAATTGACGTTTTAAACGTCCAAAATTTTATCGCTGGAAAACGAGGATGTTGATGGTCACGTGTGGGTTAATCCGGCTTCTGCATTGGTAGAGCAAGTCCGATAAAATTAAGTAAACAAAAAAATATCGCTGTGATACAGGAGAAACCGTGAAAATGGCCGCTTCTGATTGATTTAAAAGACCAACAGTGGAATAGTCATATATATAATACCACAAGTGATAATATTTTGCCGGAAATATTCGGTGATAGTTACGACAGCTTGTTGGCTAGTAATTTCGTGAATGACATTGTTATCAAAACTACGAGCCGTAGGCGAGTAGTTTTGGATCAATGTCATGAGCGAAATTAGAGCAGCAAGCTGGAGTATGTCAATCGACGAATATTTCCAGGAAAAATAGTATCACGAGTTGTATTCGTATGACTATTTCATGATTGAATGAGACAATATATATAAGAAATAGGAAACATAATTTAAGTATATTCCAACTCGAACTGCAAAGATGAACATAATGATAGTAATGAAATACAGAATTTACTTTTTTAGAAATTAACTACCTACTTGCACAAAGTGGAATGTACAATTTTGATAAACAGTATTTTTTTCATCATCTTGGAGATGGTTGCTCTCAAAAGAGTGTATACAATTACTATCCAATTCAAACAAGATAAATTGAATTTATGTGACATGGAATAATTAAAAAAAAAATATCGTCGCCGAGGACTCGAAATATTCATCATGGCTCGAACCATCGACCTTCGTATCCTCGCGCAACAACCCTAACAGTTGCGCTACATCAGCTAGTAATTATATCAGTCAGTCACAATAACTTGAGTAATTGGAGATGATTACTTCAAAAAGGAATTTGAATTCTATTATTGTTGTGTCAGACCGTCAAAAAATATGCAAACTTTTTAAATCACACATGAAACGTCCAGCTAGAATAAAATTGTCTCGCCTTTCGAACAAAATATCTCACTAACGCGAATTATAAGTATATAAAATAAAGTAGGAACTTAGGTTAATGTCTCAGATTTGAATCCAAAGCAATCTTGACCAGACACGATGTCAAAATTTAATCGCTAATAAACGAGGTTAGTTGGTCACGTGTGGGGTCAATTCGGCTTCTGTATTGGTAGAGCAAGTCCGATAAAATTTAATAAACAAAAAATATCGCTAGAATGCAGAAGAAACCGTGAAAATGGTCGATTCTGATTGGTTCTCGAGATCAACAGTGGAATAGTCATACGAATACAACTCGTGATACTATTTTCCCTGTAAATATTCGTCGATTGACATACTCCAGCTTACTGTTTTAATCATGACATTGTTCCAAAACTTCTCGCCTACAGCTCGAAAGTTTTGATTAACAATGTCGTTCGGCAAAATTATTAGGCAACAAGCTGTCGTATCGTAGTGGTATACTTATATATGATAAATTATCTCCTCCACAGAAAACGCTATTTGGGATGCACCTTTTTTATCGCTCTGAAACTGCCTGTTCCTTTCATCTGGTATATATAGGTATGCGCCCGATGTCACTTCAATTTCTATCGTTTCAAGTTTGATTGTTGAGTATATAGTTCACGCGTTAATTAGCAAGATGAACCGTTTTAAGAAAATTTCGTCAGAAAAAACCACAACAAATATAAGAAAATCAATTCAGCAGTCGACCAGTAACATGAAATCTATACTAATATTGAAAAAAGGAAAGATTTGTTTGTTTGTATTGAATAGGCTCCAAAACTACTGGGCCGATCTGAAAAATTATTTTACAATTGAAAGCCGACATTATCCCTGATGGACATACTCTATACTTTTCACCGCTGGAAAATCCTTCGTTCTTACGGGAAAACGGGTAATAATAGGACAACGGGTGTGAGAATTATCCTTCCCTACTTATCTTCTTCACATAAAATAAAAATTGCTTGAACTAAATTTTTTTTATGTTAGTTTTTCTCGTAAAAATACTGGTTGGCAGATGTTTTTCGTTAGCAAGAGAAATTTATCCGATCAAAAAGCTCATCTTGTGTTTTTACTTTTGACAATCGTACACTTATTCAAGAATTCCTCAATAAATTTGACGGTTTTGTAGAATTTGAAAAAATCGTCAGGACCTACTTCAGATTCATCCCTAAAGGCAGTTTTCTCATCTCTCTTTGTGAAAGGTATCAGTGGAATTAAATCATTTCCATTCGGACTCAATTAATGTAGGTAGGTACTAGGTAGGTAGCTAATTGAATTAACGAACACTTTTTATTGAAGATCCCAATGATAATCAGCATTCTGGTATTTTTATAACCTTAATCAAATTTACAACTACATATCAACATAAAAGTGCATTACAACTCAGCAAAACGTTCGTAAATGCAGAGATTTGTCATTCATCTCTTATAGCGAACTCGATGAGGGTTGACTCGTGACGTCACAACCACTGTACGTTCTCGAATCCAAATAATTAGCCTATTTTCGTCGGCCTATTCTATTTAATATCCTCAATTCATTCTTTTCTATCAGTACAATATTTTTAGGACAATTAAGTATAGAATTAATCCACCAGTCATTCTTCAATAACATACTTTTTATACGTGTTTCAAATAATTTTTACAGAAAAATTATGAAGTGGATCCAAAAAGCATCCATATCATAGGTCACTCTCTCGGAGCTCATACAGCAGGATATGCAGGAGCCTTGGTACCAGGATTGGGCAGGATAACGGGACTAGACCCTGCTGAACCATATTTTCAGGTACTTTTCCTCAATCGAGAGGTCACCAGTTATTATATATTCGCGAGATTCAAGAAGTGGACGACATCTAGGTTACATAGTACGAACTTCAAACTGGGGGAAAACAAACTGTTGTCTATGGATAAAGTGCATAGACTACATTGCATTCAGCTTGCTGTAGCTGTAGTCAAACTTGTCAATGACATAAAGTGTTGGCACTGTTGGTAGTGATGGTGGTTGTGTTGGTTGATTTTTTTTACATTATCACATTTTTATTAGTTTAGTGAACAGTGAAAGGGTGAAGAATTGGAGATAGTTCAAACAATTCAAACTAATTATGACGAGCAAATCAATTGACATATAAAAGAACAGCTACAACATGTTTACAATACCCAGATTGTCCTGCTTTGCATGAACAAATACAAATCCATTGTTCTACAGGAGTTCCTCTGGACCCCAACTTCAATTTGACTTCATGTGGGGAAGATTTCATCGCCGAAGTTTGTAGACAAAGTGCAAAAATGTGCCTTTTGTCGAAGTCTTCTGCCTCACACAAAATCACATGATTAGCACGGAGAACTGCTTCTCCTTCCACTACTGGTCGACTTTTTCCGTCTGAATAGAGCAAAATAATATCTGCCAAAAGAACATCTACAACAGGCATTATTAGCGTTTTCGATCGAATATTGACAATTAATACTAACACTTTGCATATGAAATCGTTATACAATATGCTTTTGATAGAAATACATAATGTACAGTGGATGACGCGTATTTCGACAAATCGTTTTGTATTTTTTCTCTTTGAAACGTTCAACGTCAAGCTAATGGCACTTACGGGATTGAGTGAGAATTGAGTTTGTTTTCCCCCAGTTTTGACGTGGCTTTGACATGGAACGATGAAAACCGAGCGCCATCTGGTAACATTGATTCCCGCGAATACTGTAGAGTATCTATCAAATGTTTGATATGATTGGAGAAAAATCAATAATCATCAATTGTATTTTTACGAAAAATTGATTACTACCATCAAACGAACAAAAAATGTTGCTCGTAATTTATTAGGGTTGATGAAATTATCTCATCAAAAAATATTTCAGCGTCACTGGATGCTGTTTTTTTTATTGAGTTATAATTCTAATTGCAGCGATGGCTTTGTATTTTTTATTATACAGGGCATGCCAGCTCACGTGAGGCTAGACCCCAGTGACGCAGATTTAGTGGATGTCATTCACACCGATGGGAAAGGTATATTATTTCTCGGTAAGTCAACAAACATAATCACCACAACTCAATTATAAGTCTCGCTTGAGGAAACATCATTCATTCATTCCTGTCTTCAATATCAGAATCAAGTTGATAAACAAACAAACATTTTTGAGGCGCACTATTTAGTACTTCAATATGTTACTTTTTAGGATATGGAATGTCCCAACCGTGTGGTCACTTGGATTTTTATCCCAATGATGGAAAAGAACAACCAGGTTGTGATATAACTCAATCTCCACTTGTACCATTGACATTGATAAGGTATGTTTGATCAGAAATTACTAATTATTTTTTAACGCTCCTTCATTTTATTGCAGAGATGGATTAGAAGAAGCTTCCAGGGTCCTAGTAGCTTGTAATCACGTTAGAGCCATCAAACTATTCACAGATAGTATAAATTCTCAATGTCCTTATATCGGTAAGAAACACCAACACAAATCTGCAAATATCGATGTCCAATAAAGTCATCAATATTATTATTATTAATATTATTTTCAGGACATCAGTGTTCGAACTACAATTTATTCAGAGAAGGGCGCTGCTTCACATGTAAGTCAGGTACAGGGTGTGCTATAATGGGATACCATGCAGACACGACTCCCGGATTGGTGGACAAAGAGGTGTCTCCACAGTCCAAATCACAAGAGACTATCGGAAGCAGATACTTTTTGACCACGGGCAAGGAGTATCCATATTGTCGTAAGTAACAAATAATACTCAAACTCAAAAACTCAATCAGCATGGTGGCGACATTTGTACCTAACCATCAGCTGATTTCATTGCGCCTTGCGTCTCTTTTAACGTAAGTTTTATCAATTCATATTGTTTTTTCAATGCTTTCCAGATCACTTATTCAAGTAATACCATTTCTTCTTTTCTGATCGCTTTCTACTCCTTTCGGCTTCTATTTTAGAAAATAAAAATAGAAGGCCACACACCTTTCTGCTCCATTCCTTTCGGTTTTTCATGTGATGACTTCATATCTTGCAACCCAAGTCTATCCTTGCACACAACTCAAGTGTTACTTCAAGGGTAGTTGAGGAATACTGGACAATAATTTTGATTTGTTCAGGAGCAAATACAATGAATACATCTCAACCAAGATCAAAACATGTTCGCTTCCTGAGTTCACTCTTATATGTTGACTTCACTGACGCTATTGCTGATGCCTTCCCCAGATATTTGTGGTCCACCTATGAACTCCAATACAACAAAACCACATGGAATTCAAAGTTTCAGAAAGGTTTGCAGTGGTTCAACTGGAATACCTGCCTAACCTAACGTAGTTTGACGATTCTGTGACGGTTTTGTGACGTTTTTGATGCTTTGACGAATGCGTGACGGTTCCGTTACTTTTCAATTACGTTTTTGTAACGTTTTTGATGCTTTGACAAACCCGTGACGTTTCTGTGACAGTTTTGTTTCAATCCCTTCGTTTATAGAGTGGCGGGGCTAACAGAGCCAAGTGGTGGGGCTAAACAGAAACGTCACGATAAAGAAAAAAAAACGTTTTACCATTTCTAGACCGAATGTACCGCATAAGCGTCGAACTATAGCCAACCCCCCTCAAGGTCTCCATCTTCAGCACCCACATAATAATAATAATAATAATAATAATAATAATAATACATTTATTATCCACAAAATAAATAAATAGTACAGGGTGCGGAATATATCAGAATTCAAGTGGATAAATGACTATAACTGGTTCAGTTGTGGACTAATCCACCCCTGTTCTTCCACCAGTGCCAGTGAAATTGAAGAAAGAAATTTGGGAAGCAAATGATAATTCAAATGTAAAGAAACGATATTTTGAAAGAAAATGACAGGAACCAAGAGGGAGAGGAAAAAAGTAGGGGGCGAGAAGGAAAAAAGGAAAAAGATAGGGAAAGTGAGTAACAACATAGATTAGTTGATTTGTAAGATCATTTCTGCGTGGACAAAAGATACTTTTTATATTTAACTTTAAATGATTCGGTAGAAGATGATAGCAGTGAAGGATCTAATCTGTGCATGGACCTCACCAGTTGGGACATTCGGTTGGAGCACGGCTTCATCTACTCCACCATGGTGTCCCACCCTGTAGACATATCTTCTTTCTTCTTCCATTAATATACCCACACACTTTTTCTGCTAATATCATTTTTAGTTTTCATGCGATAACATCAAATCTTTCAACCGAAGTGTTTTTTTGTACACAACTCCTCAAGTGTTTCTTCAAGTGTAGTCGAGGAATACTGGACAATTAAATACTGTCTGTAGGTTAATCGAGAAGGTGGTATATTCATTATTCCAAATTTTTTGGGATTTTCTCTCCTCGTTTCTATAAAATAAAAATATGAATATTATTTCAATATACGTGTAGTAAGGACAAATCAGATGATTTGCCCCAAAATGCCACTGCGTTTAAAGAATTTTCCTATCAGAGAGCCTAAAAGAAAAATTCACTAGCTTGTCAGTGACAATTTGTATTGAAAAATTTTTGGAGAAGAGAAATAAAGGTATATAGAAAAAATATCAAATTTTCACTTATCTTTGGACGTTTCGGGACCGATTCTGCTCCCGTTTTCAACATGAAGAGATTTTTTTAATTGCGAAGTCGTATAATATGTCTTGAAGCTTTTCAGTTTTCAATGACAATTGGTGACGTTGGCAATCAAAGGAGTTACAGGATGTTTTCATTAATTAATCTTAAATTTACCATTTTCATGTTCAGATTTTAATAGTGAATACCATGTTCTGTCTATATCAACTGAACAAGAGGCAATGCTATTGTCTCCGTTCAGAAGAATGCAAGCAGATTCCTTGATTTTTCTCTTCTGGTTGTTATCTTCTTTTCCAATGATTTCAATATTATTCCACTCTGCCATATGTTGTCCGTCTTCAGTAAGGATATGTTCAGCTAGTTTCGATTTATCGATGTTTCATTTCATAAGTACAATATAAATAAAAGAAACATCGATAAATCGAAACTAACTGAACATATCCTTACTGAAGACGGACAACATATGGCAGAGTGGAATAATATTAAAATCATTGGAAAAGAAGATAACAACCAGAAGAGAAAAATCAAGGAATCTGCTTGCATTCTTCTGAACGGAGACAATAGCATTGCTTCTTGTTCAGTTGATATAGACAGAACATGGTATTCACTACTAAAATCTGAACATGAAAATGGTCAATTCAAGATTAATTAATGAAAACATCCTGTAACTCCTTTGATTGCCAACGTCACCAATTGTCATTGAAAACTGAAAAGCTTCAAGACATAATATTATACGACTTCGCAATTAAAAAAATCTCTTCATGTTGAAAACGGGAGCAGAATCGGTCCCGAAACGTCCAAAGATAAGTGAAAATTTGATATTTTTTCTATATACCTTTATTTCTCTTCTCCAAAAATTTTTCAATACAAATTGTCACTGACAAGCTAGTGAATTTTTCTTTTAGGCTCTCTGATAGGAAAATTCTTTAAACGCAGTGACATTTTGGGGCAAATCATCTGATTTGTCCTTACTACACGTATATTGAAATAATATTCATATTTTTATTTTATAGAAACGAGGAGAGAAAATCCCAAAAAATTTGGAATAATGAACTGGACAATTAGTTCGATTTGTTCAGGAACATATTCAATGACTACATCTCAAACTAGATCGAGCCTGTGTTCTATCATAAGTATGTTCGCTTCTTGAGCACACTCTTATGATGACTATGGAATATTTCCTGAAGCTTTTGTTGATGCCTTCTCCAGATACTTGCGGATTAACTATGAATTCAAATCAACAAAACCAGTGAGAATTCAAGATATCAGAAAACGAATGCAGAGGTTTAATTCCTGACTCACATAAGCTTTCCTTCCTTAACATTCTCAACTATGAAGTGCTCTACAAACATGTATGTAGGTACTGCTGTATGTATAAGATTCTCAATTCTCAGGACTTTTTTCACACAATTCAGTATCCCCAAATGGACATATTTATAATAAAAGAATGTCCGTACACTAGGAAGAGTACACAGAAACTGAAAAATACTCCCTGGCAATGATTTCGCAAAGTTATCCCCACCATTCGCGATTCCATTCCTTCATCTGTGTTTGGCGTTCAAGATTGTTGGCGTACACTTTTCAATGATTTATTAATCGTGGTGTCTATCTATTGTTATTTAGTATGACCTCCCTTTTTTTCACTTTCAGACCGAATGTACCGCATCAGCGTCGAACTAGCCCACCCCCCTCACGCCGAAACCTGGGTGCAGGGCCACCTCAAGGCTTCCATCTTCAGCCCCCATGGGGCCATCCACATGGACCTCACCCCCAGTGGGGACATGAGGTTGGAGCACGGCTCCACCTACTCCACCATGGTGTCCCACCCTGTAGATATGGCGGGGGACGTACGGAAAGTGGAGTTGAATTGGGAGTACGACATGAACGTGCTAGAGCCGAGAACGTTGTGCCTGTTCTGGTGCAACGATCACCTGTACGTGAGGAATGTAGTGGTGGAGGAGATGGAGATGCCAGGCAGGGGGTTAGCATTATTTGAATTATTTTATTCGCATGTTAAAATCTGACGTTTCGGTGATTTCAATCGATAGCAATGCGTGATTCTAGCCAGTCATTCGCTATTAGGGGAAGTCGGGGAAATGGTGGCCTCTGGAGTAAAAAGAGCCAGCCAGTTTGCCTCTCTTTGTTAGTTCATTGTCGATCTTTTTTCTATATGTTCAGGTTCCCACGAAAAGGGAAATCCTGTAATGTTCAGAGAACATCTTGAGAACCAAGGGAAATAAGGTAGGAATTGGCGTTCTTCTCAAATTTCTGGAATTTATATGTCTCGGGGAACACCACCCTTGGCAATGTGTCCCAGAGCCTCGCTGTTCGTTGCATGAACGAATCTTTGGAAAGGGATGTTCTGCAGATCTCCAAAGTGACCACGAAGGGGTGCGAAGCCTCAACTCGACGGGTTAATCTTGCGGGGACTGCCAATGAAGGAACAATTGTTGATATTTCAGAAGAGCATCGTCCATGAAAATATCTATAAAATAGAGCCAGATCGCCAACTTTTCTACAGTGTTCCAGAGAAGTGAGTGAGTTTGTGAGCGAGGCATCACCCACGAGACGAATTGCCCTTTTTTTGACAGAATCCCACAGTTTCAGGGTAAGTTCGGGTGCTGCACTCCAAATATGGGGACAGTATTCCAGGACATGTCGGATCTGTGCCTCATAGATCAGCTGACTGGAAGTGAAATAGCTCCTGGCCCGAAACAGAAAACCAAGTTTTTGGGATGCACTTTCAGCAATTGATCTCACGTCATTTTTCCAAGAAAGGGTAGTGATGATAGTAATACCAAGCATCGAAATGGATGTCTCCAAAGGTATGGTTACTCCTGACAAGCATATATGTTGGGCACAGTGAGATCGGCTTTTCTAGAGGAGGCATGCCTGTGTTTTGTTTGCATTGAAATCTACCAAGTTTTTGGATCCCCATTCGAGAATTGTTGCCAAGTCCATATTTATGTTGTCAACATTTCTTCCTCGTTCGTTTTTGATTCGCCTGGCTGGTATTGGAGCCCTGGAAGAGAAGGCGGTATGGAGGGTACTATCATCCGCGAAGCTGTGTACTGGACATGAAGTTGCTTCCATCAAATCGTTGATATGGAGTAGAAATAGTGTTGGTGCTAGAATTGATCTCTGCGGAACACCAGCATTTATGATAAGAGAGTCAGATGAAACTCCGTCGACCACTACATGCAGAGACCTGTTTGAGAGAAAACTAGCTAGCAGAGAACATAGCTGGGGAGGCAAGCCATAAGATGGAAGCTTAGCGAGGAGTCCGTGGTGCCAGACTCGATCGAATGCCACGGCTAAAGTTTCACCATATTTTTCAATAGATTGCCGCCATATATGTGAGACGTAAGCGAGCAGGTCACCAGTTGATCTCTGATGACGGAAGCCATATTGCCTATCGTTGATAATACCTGAATTTTCCAGGTATTTCATGAGCTCGATGTTGTTATCTTTCTCCATGATCTTTGAAATAATAGATAGCAGTGTGATCGGTCTGTAGTTGCTAGGTAGGATCTTTTTGCCTTTTTCAGGAACTGGTTGTACTCTTGCAATTTTCCAGTTGGACGGGAATATCCCTAATTTTAGTTGAATCAAAAGTATTGATTTTTCCATCTGAACACGAATATAAGTAGTTCAACTAGTTGAGAAGAAATGAACTAAATACAAGTAAAACTGTTTCCACCAATTGCGTATCATTTGCTCCACAGTCGTCGATTGTAACAAATGTGTATACAGGGTGTTTCGTAATATGTGAGACACACCTCCAGAGGTGATAGGGCGTCTGAAGAAAATCAAAATGTCAACGTAAACAAAAGTCTTCGTTTGCGATTTTTTTCGTTTACTCGCTCTACCAATAGGTCGCGTGCACATTTGACAGATGACGAACCCTGGAGGTAAAACACCCTCACTATTCTTATTTGTTTACATAGGATTGCCATAGTATTTCACAATCATTTTGGCATAGGAGTTTTTTGGGCTATTTATTAATTCAAGCATCCCATCACATTATTGTGCATAATGGGGAAATGTGTCATGTGTATTGTAGACATTTTTACTCTATTAGCTTCTATTGCAGCATTGGCAGAAGGAATTCTAAAGAGCATAATGACAACTCGGGAGGATTCTTTCATGTATCATTATTTAACATCAAAATATATACATTATGATACCCTCCAAAGGGCATACTGGCTGAAATCACGTCCGAAAATGCGTCCCTACCTGCCGGTCTATGAGGTTGTTTTACCTCCAGGCAGCGACCATATTTTTGACATTTATGTCATCAATGAAAATGAGTATTTGATCATGGAATGATAGTCATTAGTAGTATATGCAATCATTCCAGTGGGAAATCAGCATTCCCTGTGAGTTATACACTATAATTTTTCTATGGCTGTAACAGATAATAGTGGCATTTTTGATTTCTTCCTCTTGTAGCTATCTGATTTCCTCTCAAGTAATGCTCATCTATTAGACAAAGCTGGCATTGCTTGAAATTTGACATTCCATGAGCAATGAGATTTTTGTGTTATAGCCGTAGAAAAATAATAATATGTAACATTAAAAATTTGAAACAATCAATTGTTTTTTAGGAAAAGGGATGCTCAATTCTCAAGTAGACTATGTTCCAAAGGGAAAAAAGACTATGCAGACATTTCCAATAGAGGTAGAGGAATTTTCTTGGAATCCTGCAGGAGTTCCAATGAGTTTTCCAAAAGCTAGTAAAATATTCATGACCCAGTGACCAACCAGTGACTGAGATAGTGTCATGAACTTATCAGAATGAGAATTCCATGTTTTTTATATTTTTATATGATTGTAAAAATGTCCAAAACTGGTATTCTTTGTCCTGTGTGATTTGTGTTAGTTTATTTATTAGTTAAAGTACAAAAATAAGTGAGAATATATTGAAGGATTTATTGTTTTTGTTTTGTTATATATATATAAGCTTGAAAACTGTTTTTGTGATATGTTATCATAACTTTTTATACCCCTCAAGAAGGAAAATTACCAGTTATGTTAATTATCTGAAATAAAGGAGATGCAACAATATATAGATACTTGAATTCAGTACATTTTCATCATTCACCCATATTACAGTATCACTCAAAAATTAGGAAACTATATATCCAATTACTCATGATTTAGGAGGAGAAATTAAATAATTAGAGTAACAGACATACCTTTAGGTGGAAAAGAGACTATGAAATCCACCATTTTATTTTCAATAAAAAATAAATATTATATTTGAAACAATAAATAATAAACTAATTAAAAATACTTTTCAACTTACACACTATTCATCTATGTGAATCAAAACTTTCCCAGTGCATTTTTTATCTTCAATGAATTTAATTGCATCATTTATTTGGCTCAAAGTGAACTTTGCACTAACATGTGCACTGATCAGTCCTTCATTTGCTAACTCTAGTGTATCTTCCACTATGGTTTTGTACAAATGTTTATTCTGTCTCCTCAATTCCTTAAGACTCACTATAGTTAGAAAAGAATGTGGTTTGGGAGCTGGCACTGTTTTATAAAAATATGGAGCAGCGTGGAAGATTTTCCCACCTACTGAAACACTGAAAACACCAAGGGTCTCATTGAAAGAAACTTTGTTAATTAAATAAATAGCTCATTTATAAATTTGTCATTTCTGGTGAATCTAAAAAAACTAATCTTTTTCTTCTTAAACTAGGTACTTACCAACTTCCTATACTATCCATCATTTGATCTCCCACAGCATCATAGACTATATGAGCTCCCTTATTTTCAGTAATTTTCATACACTGCTTTGTCAACTTTTCAGTAAAATGTAAAGTCTGAAATGCTCCCCTTTCTCTAACTAACTCACCTCTCTCTTCTGTATCTACAAGTCCTATCACCTAAAATAACAATAAAATGCTGCCAAAAAAAATTTCATCTACCTTATACAATCAGCTCAAATTTGAAACTATATGTACCTAGGTGTAGTCCATGATAAATCTGATTTTCTATATGTATAACATAACCTCAGCTAAGAAACAAATTTTTATAATTTTCATAGCAATATAGGGAATAATGCAAGTTTCAAGTTTAAATATCAACTATACCTAATACTGGAGATGTTTCATCAGATGGGATTTCTAACAAAATGAAAATAAAACATAAAAATGGGTAGCAGAACAAAAAAAATCATCTTTGAAAGAAGATTATAGGTTCTCAGTGGATTTTACTCACTTTTGCTTTGAATACATTAGCAGCAACATCCACTGCAGCAAGCCCCAGTCCAGCTGGCCCTGCTGAAATAATCACTCTATCATTTTCTTTCACTGTAGCTAACTTAGAAAAAGCATAAACTGCAGTAGAGTGCCCATATGCCATAACTGCAGCATCTTTCCTCTCCAATTCACTAGGTATCCTCCAAACATCTTCTATATCTAGCTAAAAATAGTCAACATGAAGTGGCCCTTAGATTATGAGTTTTAACTCTTGCTTACCACACACTGTTCAGCTAAGCCCCCGAAATTTTCGAGGTTCAATCCCGCTACCCTATCACCTACGATTATCTGCTCATTAGTGATGTCTTTGCCTCTTTCAATCACCTCTCCAGACAGTTCATAGCCAGGTACAAAAGGTAATTCGCCACCACCGTCCCTGAATTTGTGGCAGTCCACCGAATTGAGACTGCAGTAAACCACTTGCACACGAACTTCGTTCGGTTTCAGCTTGACTTCTTTTCGCTCTTGGATCTCTAGAGGCTGTCCTGCTTCTTTTATCACTGCTGCTTTGAAGGTGCTTGCGAATTTCTCCGCTTGGATACCGTTGGGACGAGTCAATAATTGAGCAGTCCTCGTGAATATCTTGTTCATTTTGAGAACTGAATTTCACATAAATAAACAAAAATGATGAAAGATATTTTTTATTTCATTATTTCTTCTTCTTCTTCTGTTGTCTTTATTGGTTTTCTGACTCCTTGCGGTGCCAATTCCACCAGATCGGGTATAGGATGTATTTACTTTATGTTAAGGATTAGGAAGGTGATTGACATGTTAATTCCCTTTGTTAAAGTGTGGATGAGTTTTATAACATTCAAGGTTCCCATATAACATCACAATTCTACAAAGATAATAGAAGTAAAATAGAGTAATTGTTCCAGTAATTTCCATACAGTATTCAGATAGTAATCAGACTTTTTTCAATAAATTTACTCAACATTTTTATTTTGTCATGATTTAAGTCTCTTAGAATCATTTGATATGAGAATGGAGGTTTGAGCCCTGATTTTATTAACTTTGAATATAGATTATCAATGTTTTGTTTATTATTATCGCATTCGAAAAAGAAGTGGTTAATATCTCCTATTTTCCCACAATCACAAAGATTGTTTTCCTTTATTTTGATTCTACATAGGTGATCTGGTAAACTACAATGCCCAATTCTCAGTCTAGTTATTGCTGAATATATTTTCCTCGGGAGGAATTGACAAGTGCTGAACCAAGGTTTAATTTGAATAAGGGGTTGAATTTCTTTAAGTCTTTTACCTCTAATGTTTGAAGTCTCATTCCAGAAATTCTGGAATTTGTTTTTCATAAGAGTTTTGATATGGGGAATCAGGTCCAAATTTTGGATTTTGTCTGTTTTGTATCTAATATTTGCATTTTTGGCTGCTTCATCTGCTTTATCATTACCTTCTATATTACAATGGCCTGGAATCCAGCAAAGTATGATTTCAAAATTTTCCTTTTTAAGCTCAAACCATGTCTCTTTAATTTTAAGATATATATAATTAGTACTAGTATTTATTACGTTATTATGCATACCTGTAATTGCGCTCTTAGAATCTGAGCAAATTAAATATCTATCTGGTTCATCATTTATTATTAATAATGCAAAGTATATTGCCATTAGTTCTGCAGAAAGAATAGAGGATTTTGGGTGGATTATTCCCCCCTTCGTCATATTTTTGTGAGGAATATATATACCAAACGATGTCTTGTCTTCAGTCTTGGACCCATCAGTAAAAATTAATTTATGGTTAGGCCATTTCTCATTAATGATATCTAGGAATTTCGAATTATTAGACCTATGAATTTTGTCTTTTTTCTCAATACCTATATTATGATAAATCTCATACTTGTCATATATACTTTCGAGTGGAATATTGAATGCAGGATGGTTACTTGAAGATATAACTTGGTTAAACGGTGGCAACAAGGACTCACGAATAGAGTTATATAAAATACTATTTCTCCATTTGTTGCAATGCATGTTTGTTACCGTTTGTTCAAATATTTTCATTATTTTAATTATAGGATTTGATTTGATGCCTAGTTGTTTTACAATAAATTTAAGGGTTATAAGGTTTTGTTTTATGTCCAAGGGATATTGATTTGCCTCTACTAGAATAGCATTGGTAGGAGATGATTTCATAAGACCCAAGCAGATTCTAAGTGACTTGAATTGAATACTGGATATCTTCTTTATATTATTTTTACTGGTATTTCCATAGATCATTAGACCATATTCGATTCTTGATGAGATTAATGCATTATGAATAGTTAGCATAATTTTAGGATCAGCTCCCCAACTAACTTTCGTCAAATATCTGAGAATATTTAAAATTTTATTACATTTATTAATTAAGTCAGTTACATGAAATTTCCACGTCATTTTCCTATCAAAGGTGATGCCCAGAATTTTGTGCTTTTCGACCTGAGCAATTCTGTTGTTATCTATTTCAATATTTATGTTTTCTTGTTGGTGGGATTTGGAAAATACCATAACTTTTGATTTATCGGTTGAGATTGATAGACCATGATCTTGTAACCAATTTTCTATAGAAGATAAAGCTCGATTAATGTGATGTTCTGCAAAGCGTGTATTTTTGAGTGATTTGAAAATAGTTATATCATCTGCATATTGGATATATTTGCAATGTGGAGTTATTGCGTCCCATAGGGATATAGTGTATAAATTGAATAAAATTGGACTCAACACTGAACCCTGCAAAATGCCCTTATAGCATTTCCTTGGACCCCAGATTTTGTGATTTTTGTCTCTAATATACATATTTTTTTCTTTTATCAATTCAAAAATTATCTTGACCACATTTCTATTTATTCCTATATCTAGTAGATTTTTAATTAATATTTCCGGGATAACATTATCATATGCCGATTTGATGTCCAGAAATACAGCTAAAGTTTTTTCTTTTTTCAGATTACTTATCAAAATATCAGCATATAAGTGAAACAGTGCTTCTATAGTACCCTTTCCCTTTCTAAATCCGAATTGATTGTCAGGAAGTATTGTATTATGCTCTAACCACCAGTCCAAACGGTATTTGATGAGGTGTTCAAATGTTTTCTTTAAGCATGATGTCAGAGCAATTGGCCTATAACTATTAAAATCATTCGGATTTTTCCCAGGTTTTAATATAGGGATAAGGATAACATCATTCCATTCTTTAGGCGTTTCTACACCATTTAACCATATGTCATTGTAGAAATTTACTAACCATTTGAACGCCTTTTTTGGTAAATGTTCAATCATCTTATAAGTGATTTCGTCTTTTCCAGGTGATGTAGCTTTTAGTTTTCCTATAATACATCTAACTTCTCTTTCTGTAAAGGTATAATTAATGTCCCTATTGATCTGAATTCTGTCTACCTCAGGAGGAGGTCTCTGTATATCAGCAGGGCAGAATTTATCTAATAGTGATTCTACTAAAGTCGTGTTGTCTATATCATTATCATGATTATTAGGTTCAAAATTAAATGGCCTAGAGAATTTTTTGATGTTACGCCATACATCAGAGATGTCACTTTCTCTGGATAAAGACTCTGTGAATTTTTTGAATGCTTTCTTTTTTTTATTTTTGAATATTTTCCTGGATTTAGCTATTTCTTTTTTGATTTCTATAAAGTTTTCAATATTAGAATTTAGTTTATACTTTTTGAAGCTTGCTGACCTCTTTTTGATAGCGTCTAAGCATTCCTCATCCCACCAAGGCGGTTTCATCATATAATTGTTTCTATTGTTAGTATTTATAGTTGGGGTGTTCTGTGAAAGACTCCATCTCATTGCCTGAACTAAATCTTCATATGATTCAATATCCAAAGTATCTATGTTGCTCTCATAGTCTAACCAATTGGTTTTCTTATAATTGTATCTTATGTTTCTATCGTCATTATTTATTATATGGTTTTTATCTATACAATTATCTATCATTATTTCTGTATGAATTGGGAAATGGTCTGATCCATATGTGTCATTTACTGTATTGCAATAGTTCACATCATTTAATAAATTTGCAGAGATGATAATGAGGTCAATAACACTTTTTGATTGACTGGAAAGCAATGTGGGTTGAAGATCATTTATGATAATCATATTACCATCATCTATGGCAGAATTAAGCTCAATTCCTCCTCTATTATTAATAGAATTTCCCCAACTTTTGTGGTGACAGTTGAAGTCTCCACATAGAATAAATTTCTGATTATCAGTAAGATTTGTCCAGAAATTTTCTGGAACAGAAATATCAGGAGGTATATATATAGAAAAAATGTCTATATCTTTGATTTTAATTCCCATTATATTTACTCTATGAGGGATTTGAAATTGGATATTTAACTTATTAAATTTGATATTATTTTTGATCAAAAACCCAGCACCACCTTTTCCATCGTCTCTGTAATGATTTAATGATTTATATCCTTTAACTGATATGTATTGATTAGGTTTTAACCAAGTTTCAGTTAAACAGACTATGTCTGTCTGAATAGTTTCAAGTAAGTTACATAAATTGGCTTTATTGGCATGAAAGCTTCTCATGTTCCAGTTGAGTATACTCAGCTTTACCATGAAGAAGCTTTCTCTCCAAGTTCTGTTGAATCAAAATTGTCAGTAGGTGGAACGAATTCCTTAATAAGTTCAAGAAAGAGTTCGGGGTATTTGAAGTAGATGTTGCAAATATCATCTCTAATTTTTTGTTTTGTATAACTAATTGGTGGAGGTAATCCTCTAGATAATTCATTGATAGGCATCACAGAGGGAGACGACCTTATTTGGCCATCAGGACTAATGAGACAATCTCTGTGTTGTTGACTCATTCCAGAAATTCTTTCCCTATAGTTTTTATCTTTGCTATGAGTATTATGATTAGAGGAAATATTGGATTTTATTCTTGTTATTTTATTGTATCCTTGCGGAGTTTTTACCCGGGAGGGAGTATTTTCATTTATAGATTGGTAAAAAGTTGTATCATCATTAGGTAATTGTGGAAAATTGTTTACATTGAAATTAAATTGACTATTTTGCTCATTTCTCTTATTATTATCTATCATCGGAATAATCTTAGATGCTTCGAAAAAGGTTATATTTCTTTCTGCTATTATTTCTTTGATTCTTTTCTGCCTATGAAATTCTGGACAAATTCTATTTTTCACTGATTTATCTGGCTCGCTAGTGAGATGATCTCCTCCACAAAATATACATGACATTTCTTGTTCTTTACATTTCTCAATACCATGATTTTCTCCACATTTTGGGCATCGTACTTTTCCTCTGCACTGATTTTTTGTATGTCCATATCGCAAACATTGATGACATTGTATCACCGGTGCATAATAATTTAATGTTTCAAATGAGCAAGAGTACATAAACACTCTGTTTGGTATACATTTTCCTCGGAAAGTAATAAGAATGACTGGGATATCCTTATATTGGATACCTGAATCTGTTATTACTTTCTTTTTTAATCTTCTAACATGAATTACTTTTTTGTTATCTATTGTTCTAAGATTATCTAGAATTTCTTCTTCTGTAAGGTCCAAGTCAATATCTTTAACTATTGCTTTAGATGTAACCATATTATTAGGGATTGAAGCTCTAAATTTATTAGTAGATAGAAAATGATTATCATCTAGCAATTTGTTAGCCTCATCCATTTTTTTAAATGTTAGCATCAATCTGTTTTTGCCTCTTCTATCAATTGAAGTTGGATTATATTGTTTGCTTATATGAAAGATTTTTCCCACTGCTAAACTAGATAGAAAGCCAATATTTTTATCTAATGATTCGATGTATATACTATATGGACCTCGGTCTGAAGTTTCATATCTATTTTCCAAAAATTGTTTATCTATATGTATTTCCTCACTTCCAGGGGAAGCTATTTCCATATCATTATTTTTGTCTGATTGAGATTTATCTGGAACTATATCTATTTTAATGCGTTTACCTTCCCTATCAACAGAATTAATTTTATCTAGAGAGTTATGTTTTTTGTTCTTTTTTTCTGAAATATTGTTGTATGCTTTTTGTATGACCAGGTCCGATAAGATGTTTACCTTAGCTGGACACTTGACCTTGAGATCGTTTTCGTCATTAATGAAGAATCCTTCTCTTATAACTTCATTGAATTCGGACGTAAAATCCTCATTAATGTTAATGTTTAGTATCAAATCCTTACACTTCTGTGAATCAAATTCCTTAGCATATGCAAAATTGAATAACAGATTAACCGCTTCTTTTGTGGATGGCGATCTATTTATAAGATTTTTATAGACAGATATATCTTCATCAGAAAAAGGACTCCCCCCGGGGTCACCGGGGGTATTATCCCCCATTTCAACTCACAAGGATTTAAAAAACTATGTTTGTTCCAATATCAAAATGAAAAAAAAAATAAAAAAATAAAGATATAATTATAATACTTGTATGAAAATTCCTCGAAAAGAATGAAGAGAATGAAAAGACAATCACATACACTTACGTGTCTGTTAATTCTACCTGGAATTATAATGGATTATAATATGGATAGGAGTTTTTTTCTTGACGCTGTCAGAAGGCTGATGTGCACCATACGACGTTCACCGCAAGAATCTATTTCATTATTTCACTTCGCAAATTTTGATTTAACCTTAAAAGAATTGAATGACAATTGACAAATGAAAGAAACAAAAGAAAGAAGACGCAAGTGACGTTATTATAAATAAGAGAAGAAGGTGACTGGAGGTGAAGACAAAAAGCAAGAAAAATAGAAGAGATACAAGAAGAAAATTTGAAGTGACTACTGATCCAATCGGTCAACGAAATATAATTTCTTATTCTATCTTGTTTTCATCTGCGAAATGTAGACTTTTAACAGTTTCAACTGAAATCTTCGAATGTAATATGGGTCATGATGAGGTTGGGAGCAATGACAAAAAAATTGAAGAAAATTAGAAAAAAAAAGAGACAATGTCTACTTCTTCTTCTTCTTCTGATTCATTGACCACTCGTCCAGTAGGGGCAGCAACCCATATGTGGTATTCCTGAAAGCTTCTGTTTTTAAGCTGGGTTCTATCGTGGTTCTAGTCCCATGCCCTTCAAATGGTGGTAAGGATTATGGTACCACAGAAACAAAAGGCAAACGACTGCTGTGGCAACACAGATCACCCGAAAAGTGGAAGATATATTGGGGGTGACTACAAAGCAAATTAGTCAAAAGAATATGATTTTTTTATTTCAATTACTTAAAACATATAAACATTTAATTTATAGCTAATATCATGGAACATTACTGATCTATTTGTCGAATTTTCAACTCGTTTGTGATATACTACAGTGCCGTACAAATGCCAGCGGCATTGGAAGATATGCACTTATTCAAAAAAAATTATAGATAGGTACTAGGTACCTATCAATTTTTCCCATAAATACACACATCCGCCTCGTTACCCGGTATACCCAGGGTGGTTACACAATAATGAAAGTGATAAGTGTAGCTAGAATTAGCCCCTACCGGGACTGTACCGTTGAAGCTGCGAATATCAAAATTCGGCAAATGCGTATTGAGAGTAATATTAGTGAAGCAAGGCATTTCAAGTCTAACAAAATTCCCATCATCCTTTTTTATGATTTTCTCTTCCGTTTTATTACCGCACAACAAATCCTCGTCGAGACAAGGAACCGTAGTTTGATAACAAGTAGTGTTGAACTCTTCGCAATATACGGTGGACGTCAAAGTGTCCAAACACATGATTTCGTTGAAGGTGGTGCAAACGGGGATCAATTCGGGGGCGCACAGCTTGGTGGCGTTTTCTGGGCAGGTTATGAGCACTTCGAGGGGTATGACCACCTCGCCAGAGGGCGCTTCGCTGGGTGGGTGGTGATAGTTGTAGATGGAATAAGGGCGCTTCATCGTCGGAAGAGTGAGGTTCCATGTGTAGTTGCCTTTGAAAAAGAATCAGAATTTATACAGGTCAATTTTTGTAGGCCACACGTTTAAGATTCCCCACTTGTTGCAGTAAAATTGAAATCTTGAAAATTGCTATATGATCTCTGTTATAATCGAGGTTATAATTGATCATTTCTAATCTACCTGAAATATTTTCAGTCCTCCAGCTATACTGGTACGCCAATATTCGGTACCAACTATATCTTATTATTTCAAATAATAGGAACCTAAATTATCTTCACACACGGTTCGAATGTCTTCTAATTCTGAGTTCAGGCAACCAAATTCATGTTGAATTATTTATCACATCAGTTTTCGGGTAGGATACGTGAATTATTCTGAAGATAATTACCGCGCCATGTACAGAGTTTGTCACACTTTATTGGTCCACCCCACCCCTCTACTTTCGTATTCCTCGGACGATTTGGAAATATTATTTTCTCATAATATATTACTCAATAATATCTACTCTGTCGAGCGAAAAATGATTATCAATCACAATTTCTCAGCCCTACTGATGCGTTCACAAAAACTCCAGCAAAAGAAAACGGATTACCGTAAAACTTATTCCCGCGGGTACTTTGCCAGAAATATCGGTTTTTTCGCGAATAATTATTGAACGATGATTAATATGTATTCGCCAAAGAATAGTATGTTCAATTTTGGATCTTTCTCTATGCGACTAATAGATTTAATCTGAAGTAGGTATGGAGAGAGTATCTCATTTTTGAATTTTGAAATTTGAAATTTGCAAAGTATCCACACAACTTGTGGTGACTTTGCCATGTGATGTGGAGTACATATAAAAATTAATTTCTGGCAAAGCTGATTCTTCAGACGAGATACTTTGACAACCAGAAAGAAATAAACACAGATTATTGATAAAAATGCGTTTTAGTGGGTCAAATAACATGTAATGAACCCCATATCCAGTATCCATCTTTAACAAAACTCATGAAGAATTCAATAATTTATAAAAAACGAGCTCTCATTAAAAAAAAGATTGAAAAAAATGAAATCAATGGAACTTGAGAGGGAATGGGCACCCATATTCAGCACACAGGCAAAGATCACGTCCACAAGCCGCCTCTCACCCATTTACTCAGCTCAGTTGGTGCACTATATTTGCCAGTATGACGTTGATGAACCTTTTATCTAAGGTTCTGTGTTACATCCTTGGTATATTGAATATTTTTGACGCTCTCTTATATCGAAATGCCCATTTTCATTGCATTTACATTCTCTTCTAATGTTTTAGGAGTGTAATTCACATACTAACGACTCCTTAGTACTGTAGCCTGTAAGATTATCGATAATAGGCATGTTGAGGTCACCATCATGAAGATATTGAGATGAATAAACATTCCAGAAAATACTTACGGAACCAATTGGCGCACGTATACTAAAACTCCCGCCAAATAGGCAGGTGGTTTTCGGCACCTAGAGCTCTAACCTATTGAGCTATTTGAAATCTATTGATACCAGACTTACAAAGGATTCTGAAGTGTCGTTAGGCGAAGTCACACCCATTTAGCATTTAACAGTTGAGAAATGTTTTTTGGAGATGCAATGTTACCCCGTTTCACGGTAGGCATTTTTTTACAAAAATGTTGATGTAGGTAATCGATTCGGACTAGTTGCAAATACTCTTATATCAATTTTCAGAACAATATATCTCAACAAGAAAAAATTAATTGGATTATTTTGAATGGAAACTATATATCATTGGTGCTCATTATAAACAAAAGTGGTTCACTGTGGGACAGTTTACTGGAGCACTAGAAATATTTCAGATAGATTGAGAATTATCGATTATATCAGCATAAAAATTTTAAAATTTATAATCCAACTACAAGAAGGTGGAAAATTTCCAATGTGTGGCCTACACGTAAATCACCCTGTAGATCATATATATCGATCATTTTTGTATTCACGGTGTAAAATAGAGTCGTGAAAGTTTTTTCCACAGTGTAAATAAAACGGCTCTCAACTGCCATCCTGAACTGAAACATTGTTTTCACGAATCTTTATGGCTAATTTACAGTTGGAACTGATGCAACTGTAAATTAGATGATGTTGCACCCAATTTACAGTTGCAACTGTCAATTGAGAGATAAAGAAAAGAAAGTTCCATCTGCCTAATTCACAGTTACAACTGTAAATAATTAGATGTTGCACCTGTGAATTAGCGCCAATTTACAGTTGCAACTGTCAATTAGGAGATGTGAAGAAAAGAAGTTTTATCCTCCTAATTCACAGTTGGAACTGTAAATTAGACTGTGACTGTGAATTGAAGAAAAAAAAGTTGTATCTTCCTAAAGGAATGTTCATGCTTGTACGCGAATTCCGAAAAATTTATGCGAATACAATGGCGACTGCGAATATCGCAGTGAAGTTGAACTTTTTTACGAATGCGGATGAACATCAAAATTGGGGAATTAGAGAGCGGACAGCAGAGGCCGAAAAAAGACGAAAATATAGACACTAGACTCTACAGGTAAGTACAGAATTATAATTAAAAAATTTCATCATTTCATTTGATTAAATTTTCTTTGCAGGATGGATTCTCTGTACGAATTAATTTTAAAGTATCATCTGTATCGTCTCTATAGAACTAATGATGTATCCAGAAGCAAAAAAAGGAGCTGTACTGTTCGGAGCATTTTTAAATGCCGAAAAATGAATGGAGATTAGTACAGCCTCGTTCGATAAATGCGACTGAATGACCCTAATAAATATTTCAATTACTTTCGTGTAAGTGCCTTCAATTTGATAAACTCAACTCTATCAATGGTGGGACCAGAAATAAAGAAATTATGTATGAGCAGAACCCTTATCTCCAGTATATTCTGTCGCATGAGTATGATGTATGAACGTCTAATTCTGTTGGGAATTTCATATTTTGCGATTCGTATAAATTTTGCGGAATTCGTATAGTTTATCCAAAAAAAATTGCGGAGTCACGTGTCGCACCTGCAGTCACTTCACAGGGAACTGCAAACACACTGACGACGCACAGTGCGAGATATTCTGCAATTGATATTGGATATACTATACAAGCATGAACATACCTTAATTCACACAGTTGCAATAACTTTAGATTTGAAAATGTTGCACCTATGAATTAGCGCCAAATTACAGTTGCAACTGTCAATTAGGAGATGTGAGGAAAAAAGTTGTATCTGCCTAATTTACAGTTGCAACTGTGCATTAGAAGATGCTGCAACTGTAAATTAGCACTAATTTACAATTGCAACTGTAAATTAGGCAGTCATTCGTCAAAAAAAGTTGTTGCAGGATGATAGCCGTCGTAACAAGTAGCTATCCTATACCTTCCAAAACACTCCTCCAATCATTCCTCCCAATATCCACCTCCTCGCAACTCTTATACTCTGGCCCGCCCACCGCCATAGTAGTCACACAATACTTGAACTCATCCCCACCCTTCCCACCCCCCGTTTCGTTCAGCAAACTCACGTCCATCGTCAGATTGGTCAGGCACGGCACGCTGACGCTGGTCGCCTGTTGCGCGGTGGTTTTTGCGCAGGCGGGGTCGGTGGTGTCTGCGCAGGGGACAGTGGCGTTGACGCAGAGGGTTTTCTCTTCGGCACAGGGTGCCGCTTGCGACATCGTTACCACGCAGAGGACGGTGCTGTTGGTGGTGCAGATGGCTGTGGAACCTACGAAATACAGGGAGTTTCAAAATTCGGTATCGAAATATTTCAGGGGCTCATTTTTCATTTTTGGATGTATGATAAATTGATATGCAGTGGGCATCATAAGTGTTACCCCCCCTATCTAACTCGTCACGGGACTCTTGTTAGGAAAATCGATGAGACCCGTAGATTTTTG